AGGCTTAAGATAATAATGTTTAGTGATGATGATGACTTGTTTATTCATCATAGTCAAAATCTGAGTCCAAAAATTCAACCTCTAAGGATTCTTCTGTATCAGTGGAGCCATCATCACTTCTTTTATTATTAATTTTCCAAATACTTCTTCAGTTATGTGATCTCTTTGTGTATATTTATTTTTCACATGTATTACATGGTCGATATGTTGGGACCTCCTTTCTCAAAATATAAAAATCATTGATTTTATTTCATATTGCATCAATATCAAAACTGTCTAAATCTGACATTGTGCTTTTATGGGGCCTTTTTTCCGGAGTGCTCCACATTCCTACATTCACAAATCCTTCTTTCTTAATTTTTTTTAGTGTCATCATACCAACATCTGCAAAACAAAGTACACATGCATATTAATGAAGAAGGTAGGTACCTAAACAGTTTGATGACAAAATAACACAACTTTGTGAATAGAACAAACACATAGAAACACTGAACAGATACAGGTATATACCAGTTAGTGAAGATACATCTTCTAAGAACTTATTCTAAGTTTCTATTAAGGATTTTTTCTCCAAATGCCTTAACTTTTCAATAACTTTTTTTATTTCGAAGAGTCCTTGAATATCTTCCAGATTATCTATAAAAATAAGAAAAAAATATCATCATATCGTAAATATTTCAAACAATCAGCTAAACAAGAATCAAGATTACAAAATCATACTAACCTTAAAAAATCCGACAACGCATCTAAGCATTGTTGTTTTTCTTGGAAAACAACCCTATTCTCTTCTTGTTTTTGTTGAAACTTACTTATCAGCATATTACACATAGCAGTTTTGGCATGTTACTTTTTATGGTTTTACCCATTCTAATTTCTATTATTTTTTAAAATTAAATTTGTTCACAAGAAACTCGCAACTGAATTCACAGACTTTGATTTGACGTGCCATTGAGGGCTTAATAATGTTGCCATATTCAAACTTTTAAGAAAATTCCAGGTCACGATTTCGTTAGCCAGACTCTAGCAAGCGCCCTTTCTACCACCGAACCACCGACACTTGTTGGTAAGATCGTGGTGAAGTAATAAAAGTTTATGTTATGTAGAAGCGATTCTACATTTAAAAGTGAAACTTTTATGATTCTCGATACTGTGGATTTTTGACGTGACAACGTCTTAAATTAGGTTGCGGCTGGGAGTCACTTATGAAAAAGTGTAACGCTCGGTAACGTTACGATGAGTCTCTCGTGTTAAGTTTAAGTTTACATGTACAATGTTTTAGTAAACAAAATATATTTCTATAGTTAAAATTTGTGCAATTCTTATTTTCATTCAATTCCTTGTTCCTATTGTGCAATTTAATTATATTCATATCAATAAATATTCTACCGAGAAAAAGACGTTGTCACGTAAAATCTTCGCCCGTAAAACCGACTTTACAGGCAACCATTTTTTTTATTGCTGTATTGTTTTTAAATTTTATTTTTCATCAACTAGACATTAAGTTTGGTCGATGACCGGTCAGTCGCACGCTTTTCTAAGGTCGCACTGGTTGAATAGTACCTTTTTGGGGTAAAATTAAATATGTTAAGGTAATTATATAAACATACTCTGGAAACCCTGAATTAAGCTGTCACTGTCAGTTATTTTGTTGTGGTGTATCATTGAGGAGTTTTTTGTTAGCTGAGGACTGTTGTTTGGAATTATCGTCAATAATTATCTTTGTCTTTGACAAAATTAATTAGTGCGATTGTTGTTGCTGCCTATGAGCAGTTTACAATACAAAAATCGGAATCTCTTACAAGACTCATTCAGACACAAATTAAAGTGCTTTTTATAAGTGTGTAATTTTGATTTCTGAAATACAATACTTCTGTATTGAAAATGGTTATTGGTAAGTTTATTGTACTGATACAAATAATTGGTCTCGTTCACCAGTAACATGGTTTAAATTCAGTCCATCCTGAGAAATGATTTGCATGAAATGACCTTGCGATAAATACAGCTGCTAAAGTATTCTAAACCTGTTTATTACTTTTATAAAACGAGTTTCAACAAGGCTCACCTTACCAAACGTTTATTTGGCTAGTATAAAGGCCGATCAAAGGTCAAGTCGAAACAGTGAAAATGAAGTAAGCATACCTAAACCTTAATAGGCTGTCCAGTACCCACAAATTTAATGACATAGATAATTAAAATGTTGAGTCAGCTAAATATAACCGATTATGTTAAATATATTTAATGATGTGTTATTGTATATTGCATGTCTGCATAACTACTTGGGAAACATGTAAAACTTATAATTTGAACCACTAGTTAATAACATCCAGAGCTTAGATTAAACCAAAAAGGGAAGATACAATACACAGCACTTGCGTCTCAAAAGTGTACTTCATTAAGTAAATGCATGCACACAATTTGCTTTTGTCACAATTTGAAAAGTGCTTGCTTTTACCACCTCATATATGCTCATAAAACAATATTGCAGATTTTCTGTGTTTAAAAGCTACTAAAATGCCTAAGATGCTACTTATAAGTGCACTTCAAGGACAAATAACAAATGCCAGGGAATTACTTTTCATTTGTAACATTATAAAAAAATATTTTTCTCAAAACTCATGGTTTGTTATGAATTTTATTTGCAATAAACACATCACACATCAAAAAGTCTAAGCAACCAGATCATTTACAAAAACTGCATGTTTTCTTAATGGATGTTTATTTTTTTCTTAGCAAAGTAAATTTTTGTTCTCGGAAATATAATTGGGTGATTTTAAAAATAGGCACTTTTTGATTGTGTTTATAATAGTATGGTATAAATAAATAACAATAGTAAAAATCCTACAAAAGTTCAAAATCATACTACATGTTGCTTAGACTTTTTTGATAAGTATATTTGTTATCCAGGCCCCATAGCATGAGCATCACAATTTTCATTATATCACATTTTTTATCACATTGTAATATTAAAAAATAAAAAGTTTGAGAGAAATTTACTTTAAATGGATAGGTCGAAATTAATGGAAAAAAGAATACTCGGGCGTCAGACCTACCACATTATTATACCATATTAGCCGGGAAAGCAAAGAACTATTAATCACAAGAGAAGGCTTGATTGCAAAACCATATTCATTTTGGGTTGTCTATTTATTTAAATTTACTACAAAACTACTTAAGTCCAAAAGGGTTACTGCTAAATTTAGAAACAACTTATTATACTATGGCTACTAAAATGTAAATGAAAATTTTACCTTATGGGTTCCGGTACAACAATGAATTTGGAAAGTTACCGAACTTGTTGCATCTGTGTCTGGTGTCAATTGTAATATTAAATGGATGTCGCTGTTACATCACGGGACTGTTCACTTTCTCATCATGGGAAATGTTGAAAGTTCATTATAAAATCCAAAATAAAAAAAAAACGCTTTTCGCGTTTTTTAAACAAATTAAGCTTGGAATGCGATATCCGCCATTCCGATCAAAAGCTGCAAAATGTTATATCATCAAAAACAATTGAAAATCCAATGGATTATCATGATAAAAATTAAGATTTAAATTTTCACATGTTCCTCGTAAAAATTTTGGTCGTGAAGTGCAGTGACAGTTCTTTTCTTAGTTTGTCTTGGCGGTAGGCAAAGTGAACAATGTCCATTCAGCCTACTGCTCGATAAAGGCAGAAACACACTTACCCAAAAGTGCACAGATTAAAGAAAATGGGCGCGAGATAAAAAACAACCAGAGAGACAACCAAAAAAAAATCTTCTATCTCGCTCTTCGATCGAAGAAGATCCATGTGACGTTTTTAACACGTTACAACATCTAACCGTCAAACTCCCTAGTAATATGACGATTCAGCACTACAAAAACGTGTTATAAATCATGTTGCGGGCTCATGCTAGGGGGCATGAAGGACAACAATACTCTCTACAAACTCAAGACATTTTTAGAGGGAGAAAGAACATCTGCAGTCAGTTAGTTGTCAAGCGACACAGACTTGCCTACTCACTCACACTGCATTGAAGCATACCATGCTGTCTCTTTATTTAGAGGTGCTGTGCATGTATGTGAACTTTGATGATGTAATTGAGTCTGCTCATATTATATTTCATGCTAGTAAGAGCATACCTTATTTTCCCTTTTTATTTTAATCTCAGATCCAGCGTAACTTAATGGATAATGTTATTTATCTTATAAATAAGCAAGTATTTTCAAGAAGTTATTTATAAAAAGTTGACTTACACCTCCTGATATTTTTTGACCACCTCCAGCCAGAGCAAACAACTTTTTCTCAGGAAGACCTAAAAGTATGGATCAGACATATCTGAGTAATATTTAATAATTATAATAATATTCAAATGGAAATATTAATTCCATAAAAATATGGAAAATTATATAAAAAGATTGTTTATCTTAAAAATATAAAAGTATAATGTGATTCAACTAAAAATAGGACCCACTGGGTGCCATATTGTGACGTCATAGCTGTCAATTCAAACCAAATAGGCAGAGAGGTAGAGAGAGCAAAAAAATGATTTTATTTAATTAAAGTTATTTACTAAGATTAAGTGAGAAAAGAAACAGATGTTTTTAATATAATTTATTTACTAAGAATGAGAAAGAAAAACAGCCGTTTTTTAATAATATTTATTTATTAAGACTGTGTGGGAAAAAAATTAACCAGAATCTAGCTTTTCAATTCCGCTCATCACTGCATTACCACCGGAGTAGTTATGAATAACCATGCACTATTTCTAGGTCACTTATGAACATGCATCCTTTAAGTAAACGAAAGTTTTAAATCGAGTTTCTGAACACAACTTAAAGTGACATATGGTTGACGATTTAGGTTATCAACCATTCATAGCCAAAGCTCAATAAATGAAAAAAAATATCAACCGATATTAATTATCAATATTTATTAATGTTTTTCTACTCTCTTGAGAACTAGAGGTTAACTAGTTTATATAATTTTTGGTTAGTAATTGAGACATCTTTTGTTGCAGCAAATTTATCAAGTTCAAAACCCAAAGCAGGGAATGTGGCCGAGGTAAGGAAAAAATATTTAAATTACTATAAAGGGATTCAATCTTTTCTGCTTAAAGCGGGCATATTGACCCGCCACCATTTTTTTTTCAAAATCCAGAGGTGAGGTTTACTTGAGCGATACCCCAAAAGCAAGAGGTGGAGGCTCACTGGATTTAGTGATTTAGTTGATACCATCCATTAATGAACAAAACAAAAAATCTCAGTGTCCAGGATCCCCTCAGGTATATTACACAATACATAAGGATATGCAGGATTTTTAGATATCCGGTGATGCTTTTTAAATCACTGTTTTTTAATGAATATGGAGTTGTGATGTGAGGATGATAGATCTTCATTAACCGAGCGTTACCGCAACCCTTCGATCGCCCATCCCCCTACCCTGACGCCCATGACCCTACTCCCTGGCCACCCTGACCAGCTCATAAACCCGTCACATCTTTTTTTTTTGACGATGAGAAATCACTTGACATACCGTACCGTGCGCTGGCGAGGCGCACGACGTGTGTGGGACTCACCCGGCGCGGGACACAGCGCCGGTCCTACCCACTAAAACTCACCGGTACCGTCTCGGGATCGGCGCACCTATGTGTGTGCACTTCACTGGGAAGCCCCGGGGCCGGGCCGGCCCAACGAGTGAACCGGGCGACACGCGTTGGGGGATTACGCTAGGGTACTAGGCAATCCCCAAACGCGGTGGCCTATGCCGAAAGGCACCAAGGGTGGTGGCCAAACCGCGCCCAGACCACCTTAGGGCCGAAGACCGGCAGTCACGGCTGCCTACCTTCTTCGGCCGACCCGTCTACGTCGGAGGGGAGCGGCTAAAGCGTCCTCCTCCCGCTCCCTCTCCAACCCCGTCACCCCTGGTAACCCTGACCCCGTGACTTCAACTACAACTACCTCTTGTAAATTCAGGAATCCCTGTGTTCTAACTATTTATATTAAATTTTTTTCCCCTTGCGCACCTTGTGCATTGAGCACAAGCCGTCAAGATGAAATATGGAGTACAAGCCAAATAGGAGGGATACAACAGCAGATCTTTGGTTATTAATGTTTATGATCACTTATTCTATGAAAGGCTATTGCGAAGTTTCCTAACTTTAATGATCACAACATATCCACTAACTACTGCGCCATCAATCTTCTGCCAACAACTGTGCTCTTAATGTAATGGCAAATTATATTCTTTTAACAGACAGTTCAAAGGGCCCGGGATGCATTTAACAGAGGTGTCACACGGCCTGTTGAATGGCGCAGACAGCAACTCAAAGCACTTCTCCGTTGTTACCAAGAAAACAAACAAGCAATGATAGATGCGCTAAGGCAAGATCTAAGGAGAAGCAAAATGGAAGCTGTACTTCTTGAAGTCGACTTTCTCATCAATGATGTGCTGAACACATTGCATTATCTGGATGAGTGGGTGAAGCCTGAAAAGGTAATATACTTGAAAATTTTGTTATTTTATATTTCATAAGCAGTTTCTAGTTAATCCGCAAACCTTGCAATAGTTATTTATAAAATGCTAATTTAAAACCTATTTTACCCGTAGCCACCCAAGGGAATAGTGAACATATTGGATGAAGTGGTAATATACAACGATCCGTATGGCGTTGCTCTCGTGATCGGCGCATGGAACTACCCGCTACAACTAGTCCTTCTGCCTTTAGCTGGGGCTATAGCAGCTGGTAATGCTGTGGTCCTCAAACCCAGTGAGCTGGCGATTGCCAGTGCCCAGTTTATTTCGGAAATGCTGCCGAAATATTTGGACAATGTGAGTACCAACCGAAATCAGAAGTCAATCTATTCTATAGAATCCCTCATCATAATGAGGGGCTTTCAGAAGTTACGGGCTCTTAGGCGGCAGCGCCAAGGCGCAAAATCCATACATCTTTCAATGCGCTTGTTTTATAATTATAACCATAGAGCAACACGAAAGGGAGTAGCCATAGCGACATAGTACTATTCAAATTATTCTGTCATTTTTTGCGGGGGAGAATATGCACACAAACGCAGTTTAACGTAGACGCATATAAAATAAAACTAACTATGACACTTACACATAAACAATAACTCAATACATCGCGAAATCCTGCACTCATGTATCGTTTGTATGCCCAATTTGGGCATATGCCCAACCCGACAGAGGGGAAAGCTGTGTATGCCTACTCCCCTCGCCGCGTGTCGGTGTGACGGTGTTGCCACGTCTATGATTAGGTATATAACCAACGCACCCAAAGACAATAATTAGTTACATTAAATATTGATGTCACTTCCTTTGCTTTGCGATAGTAATAGAATATTACAACACGCCACTTTGACAAGAATTAGATTTAATGCACTTCTCTTAGTACGGCTGTAAGAACCAGTCAAAGAGTACCATCTTAAACATAATGTTAAATTTATTCAATGAATTTGCTCAAACTCACCACCATAATATTATTAGTGACGTAAATTTCCTTAAAAACCCTCAATAAATAACTTTATGTAATTTTTTCTAATATCAAAGCCTAATTTGATAAAACTTTTTTTATTACATCGTTGAAATCGTTTTTAAAGCTAGTGAAAAACAAATTTTGTAAGAAGACTGCGACTTATTTAATCCTACTAGCGTAGTAACAATTAATCTGTGCTACTAGTATATAATCTGACAATAGGCAACACCTCAGCTACTGACATATCAGTCAGTACCCTATTCTAATTATCTTTATCGTTTAAATTATCGGCTTAGCTAATAGCTATCGCTTATGCTTTAGACCAGGGTCGATAATTTTTGAGACCAAAAAAAAATATAGTAGGATGAAACCCATTGGAAAAGGTAGAGAATATAACAAAAATGAAAGGAAAAATAAATTACGGGCAGTCTGAGGTCGGGAAGGGGGAGGCGGTGAGTTTTTAAGGGTAAAAACGGTTAATCTCGATTTCCGGTAAAACTGCAAGTCCTATGAAAAAAAGTTAAATCACAAAGTTGTAGGTAATAAAAAGATCTACAACTTTTGTATCGACACTTTTTTCACATAATCTCAAAATTTATGTGAAAAATTCGAATAACCGAGTTTTTGGTTTTTTATTTTTTGCAAAAGAATTGATTTTTTCACGACATTTAGTGAAAATTACCTTTGTGTGTCCCAAACATACAGTAATTTTTTGTATTTAAAATATTCATTTTTTCACCTTATTTTGACTTAATAACGAAAATGCACCCTAATTTTCAATCGAAAATTCTCACGTCAAAATATCTGCTTTTTTTAAAAAAGTTGGTGTGTTTTTTGTTTGTTGAAACCTCTACCATCTGATGGTATAAAAAAAATATACACTACTATGGTAAAAGTTCTCAGAAACTGCAAATTAATAATGAAAAAAACTCGAATCCGAATTTTTTTTTTTAATAATTATGTACAATTTTGAGCTATTTATTAAAATTTACACTTTAATTACTCGAAAAACGTAAAATTTCATGATATATTAGAATATTTTTTATTTAATTTTGTCGAGCTATTAAATAAAAAATCAGTATTCTGACGATGCAGACCTGAAAACCGTTAAAACTAGTTTCAGTTAATGAATGATGTGCGTGAAAACCTAAGAAACAAATATGGATGACATTTATTTTATAACATAGTATTACTCTTACTGAAATAACCAATGCTGCACCCCTAGCGTGAACAGCGCGATATGATTTATAGCTCGTTTTTATCTCGATCAATTGTCAAATTAATATCGAGTTTATTAGTTAGACTCGATAAAAAACGTGATATGTACATAATGTAAATTCTGGTGTTCATGCTACTGGTATAATACGGCTATAATAAAGTCATATTAACCTACTAATATTTTAATGCTTGGAATAATAACGCTAAGGTCAAATGCATAAACGCGACTTAGTAACTAAACAATGTGTTGGCATTTGCGTATTATATTTTAATTGCAAGGAGAAACCTGTAGAATCATGATATTTTAACTAGTACATTTTTTTCTAAATTTTTAAATTATTCGTACGTAGCTATTGTTATAATTAGCTGAATCATCATTACATTTTGTAAGAACATACGATGACTTGACTATCATGATGGACGATACGTTCAAAGTCCGAATCGGATTCTTATCGAATAGCAGAATATTATGTAAACATACATTCGTCGGTATGTAAACGGTATAAACAATTCACGAATAATGCAAACTAATTTCTACATTGTGTAAGCAAGCGTTTAATGATTTCATTTTGCAAAAGGATGACTTAAAATAAACCTTTTCAAACATGAACATTTCACACTGCTTTTAGTGTGTGAAAGTGCTCGCCACGTCGCTGCCGGCATGCATCGGTCCCCAGTAGGGCTATTCGCTGACTGCTTTTGACAGATCAAAATGATAATTACCAAGCTATTTAGTGATCCACTACTGCTTTATCATAACGCCACTAAGATACTTGTTCTGATAAGCATTTAGTTGCACACTGTAAATGTCAAAAAAATTTGCGAATAGACCTGCTGGTCATACATAAATGATCTATTACGTACAACGATATTTACGTAGTTCCTTCTTCTATCACCTAGCGATTTTACCTTCAATTATATTTAGAATCCTTTTAATTGTGGGAAAAAACGGGCAGGAAAAGCGTATCAAAAAATTGTAGCGCACGCACGCCCACTGCAACAAAAAAAGCCAGACTAGCGCGTGACGGATTCGCCCGCCGAGAGTTCCGTACAAATTTGTAGGTACACAACATAAACCGCCTTACGTTAACTTAGAAGTGTGATTTTTCACAGCTTCAAGGGCCTGTAGACATTATGTGGTTTCAATTTCAAATCGACATCTTTACGAATTCTCTCGAGATAAAGGGTCTTGGCAGACAGACAGATATACGGCTGTAACTTTTTTACGTTAACTTAGAAGCTTGATTTTTACAGCTTTGAGGGACCGTAGACCTGATTATTCGGTTTCAGTTTCAACTCGATACCTCCACGTGTTCCCAAGATAGGAAGGCCTTAACGGACAGACGGACAGACAACAAAGTGATCTTATAAGGGGTCCCGTTATTTCCTTATGAGTTACGGACCCTAAAAAGCAATAAATATTTACACGCAACGCAGAAATGCTTTGAGTCACTTATAATTTGATTAATTTTCCCTTCAACAGGATGCCATAGTAGTAGTGGAAGGAGGTCCAGAAGAGACCAGCCAGTTGTTGAAGCAGAAATTCGATTACATTTTCTATACAGGCAGCACAAACGTCGGCAAAATTATATATGAAGCGGCAACCAAAAATTTAACACCCGTCACTCTGGAGTTGGGAGGGAAAAGGTAGATTCAAATAATCATATAGTTTTTGTTAACTTTTCTGGGGATGATGACTATTTTTTTTTTCTTCGTTTATCAGGTAGATTATCAAAAAGTATCGGACACGTATTTTTTCTTTTTTCACATAATATAAACATTGCAGATATATGTTGTTTTGAAAAGTCGCATGACGTCACGTTTTAGTACACTTTTAAGTGAAAATTCACTAAACAGTGACGTCACGAGCCCCTACTCCCAAACTTTGACGCGCTATAACTTTGTCATTTTTTGGTTGATTGCTCAAATCCTACACACAAGTTAAACACATACTCCCTTATTAATAAATGAAGAATAACCTTTTCTTTATTAGATACTCGTGTGTTTTGTCTCTGTTAAGTGATATTTTCATATGACTAAAGCGCCATTTGTAATTCAAAACACGGCGTAACTAGTCTAAGCTTATTCCCCGTTTTTTAATAAGGGGGCAAAAGATAATCAGCTTTTTTTAATTATAATCAATAAATATAAGATATTAAATGTAATCGGTTCAGCATCTTTATAAAACTACATTAGTAGGTTATCTGCTAAATATTATTGATTCAGAGATTTTAGATACTTATTATTATTTATTAGTTTAAATATGTGTTTATATAAATTTAATGTTTTAGCCCGGTTTATATAGACAACTCGGCTGACATCGAAACTACAACTAAACGCATACTGTGGGGCAAATTTATCAACGTGGGACAAACTTGTATAGCACCCGACTACATTTTGTGCAGTCAAGAGGTGCAAGAGAAGTTCCTTCAGATTGCAAAGAAAGTTCTAAAGGAGTGGTACGGAGAGGATCCACAGAAGTCGCCTGATCTTTGCAGGATTATCAACAGTAGGCATTTCAGGTAAAACCTAGCCTTAAGTCGCTAATTTATAATATACTCGAAGGACCAAGTCTCCTCTTAGTCGTGTTAAAAAAAACCGAATGTGTTTTTTCAAAAAATCGAATTCGAAAGTTATAAGTGAGCCAATATTTTAAATGTAATGAGTCAACTATAGTTACGAAGTCCAATTCAATCAATTTTTATTGTACATAACTCACACTAAGTATGTTATTGTCGTTACAAATTATATTCAGATTTAATGTTGCAAATAGAGATGTCATATTAATTTCAAAGTTTGATTAATGTTAATTTTATTTGCCATTAGATTAGATTAAAATAACACGTAACTTGGTAAGATATTACTTACATTTATTTTTCGTATGAGCTATAAAAAGATACCTGATATTCATTAATAATAGAAAAATAAAATTTCATATTTAGACATAATTGTTACCTTAATATACTTAAAATTGTGCATTTCAGTCGACTCCAAGGTTTGCTGGATGCGAGCAAAGACAAAATTGCGATCGGAGGCAAATCTGATCCCAAAGACAGATTCATTGAACCTACAATCCTTGCCAATGTCCTTCCTACGGACAAAATTATGGAGGATGAAATTTTCGGACCTATCCTTCCCATAGTACCCATTGCAAATGCATACGAAGCTATCAAATTCATCAACGAAAGGTAAGAAAAAATGCTAACAGAATTGTGTGAGTTTGAGTGCTGCGAAAAGTGGACCCTGTTTTTATAACGATAAAGTTCATATTACAAAATATTATAAAAGTTGAAACACATGCAACCATGCTGAAATTCGAGTCTCAAAAATAACAATATATTTTTTGTTTATTTTAATCCTCATTTTATAACCATCATCTCATGTCAATGTATTAAGTATTAAGATATAGACATGGGAGGGAGAGAGACAGTAAGAGCTAAGATCTGTGCAGATGGGGTACTATGTTCTCGGCGGATGTACATATTCCATAAACATTTATACTTTAAATAATCTGCCACTTTAGATCTATATTCGAGTATTGTTTATTTCTCGGCGCATTATTCTGTTGGCTATTTGACCTCATGTAAAAACTTTCTAAATTTTGAACTGATCTTAAATATTCCTGTCCACATTGTAACCACTTTTTTCTTTGTTTTTTATTCATAACAGTTTAAAATACCCCTTATCTGCGCAGATCCTGTTTTTTTTAAGTCGCTGTATTGTTCATTTGGTTTCCATAGAGGTTTCTGAATTATTTTAATTTACCATACATCTCTATACCTGGTAAGGGTTTGTACACCAATGACAATCAAGCAACATTATGTTAATTTACATATGAACTTTGCCCACATTAATAATTCATATGGTGTGTGCATTTTTGTGGTTTGTTCTTTCAAGGAAATGTGTGATTTCGCTGCTCATTGTAAAGTCCATTTTGTATTATTGGAAAATCATAAACAATGCAAAGGATCTAATATCGTTGCGGGCTACATTGTTAAATGTTCTATCATTAGAGAAGCATATGATATTTAGTACATAAATCGTTTTGAAAGTCAAATTAGTGGTTTCGAATAACTTCCATAAATTTTACTTTTATTTAACCAACTTAATAATAAATAATTTAAACCAAAAGCCATGGGTACAGAAATAACAGCGAAACCTTTATTCCATTCAATTGGCATTAGCATTCAAGGTTATTTGAAGGCAAGATCTAAACTGATTTAACTGCTAATAAATAACGGCTGTAACACCGTGAGTCGCAAATTTCAGGGAGCATCCATTAGTACTTTACGTATTCAGCAAAGAAAAAAGTATACAAAAGTTGTTCACCGAACAAACTCGATCAGGCAGTATCAGTATGAATGACACGATCATGTTTTACGGCGGTAAGGAGGTATCCGTTACTTGTCAGCTGTTTGCAAAAACATCAATGGAAATTGTACAATATCCCTATAACAATCAAGTATTGCCAATGAGAAGCGATACAAAATGTAAACAAAGTCGATTAAAAGACTTTGGCCAATGTAGGGGTTAGTAACATTTTTGTAAATAAAATTTTATTAATGAAAATTGATATTTCACTAAGGTATATCATTTTAATCTTTGATTATTTACTCTCTAGATAGGTTACCTTGTAAACACTGCGATAAAACAGGCCAGTTATAATATACTTGTGTGCGTGACACGCAAAACAAAAGGCGAATCTTGTATCTTACACTCGTGAAATGTCATTCGTTGTGTCTCGGTGCGCATGCGATAGATTATGCGCACGCGAATGCGCACGATGATTGTTTGTTAGCAGGTTAGGCCACATTCCCCAAAAGAATGGGTAAACTTAATCAAATCAAAATTTATCATAGACGTTGAAACATCTGTAAAACATATAAATTTATACTTGGATATTTTTTTTTTTTTATAAAATTTTATTTACTTTAACCAGTTTATTACGGAAATAACAGTCATGATAATGTAGAAAGAAACATTAAAAAGGATTTTTTTTTTAATTATGATAATTATTGCCCTGAATTTAATTACGAGAAGAAAATTAAATTACAGTTTTATACAGATACGCAGACCAAAACAGTTTAAAATATATACTCAGGGCATACGATGGAAGATCAAAAAGTTCGCGGAGTGATTTGAAAGTTTTTTTTTATTGTAACTTAAGGGCTTAAGCCACTGTGTGACTATATTAGCTTACAGTGTTGGCAATGTAGTCCGTGTGAGGTGCAACTGTACTCACCTCCCAGCCTAGATATCGTTATCCGTAATATACGCACTAGGATAGAACCTAGTAACCTAGTATGTTTTTCTTGTCGCCCAATACTTGAGATGAAGGTGGAGATGGCAGAAATTAAACTTGAAATTATTTATACTTTTCAAAATATTTTCCCTTTAGTCTCATTCATTTTTCGGAACTTTCAAATAACTTCGCAAAAAATGACCTTTGTGTCAAGCCCCTGAAAACAGATAGAAATTGCAGTCTTCACTTGTTTGTCATCAGAATATTTTTAATCGGAGCTCTTTTTTTATTTTTGGAACTCCATATTTACTTTTGATTACGCCATACTTAATTTTTTAGGGAATTTTGTAATGAGACATCACTTTGAAAATGTCAATGTGACATGACCGAATGAGACCTATTGTCATATATATGCAATAGATAGTTATTAGACTGTCAGTCCCATAGTCTCGTCTAAGGTAAATGATCGTTTGTATCGCTTTTCGTTGGCCGTACTTTAGTGTAACTTTATCAACAACTACTATGAAAAATAAATGCAATTTTAGTGCATACCTAACTTATAGTTACACTAATAAAATGTTAAAACCTAAATTTTTGAAATAACTTTGTATTTTAATGCTCTTTTTATTCATTTTCTGTTATACACGCATCACAAAATATTTATCGTCTCTGGCACTATTGTAGTGACGAACTAATGTTAGTAGATAGAAGTGATAGTTATTAACCTACTCAATTACAAATTGGAGTCAATCAAATAGAAAATAACAAAATATTTAGTGAACTTATTATGCATGTATAATATATTGAAGTTCATATACGTACTGTATAATTGAAAAACTTGAATTTTGTTTAATTAATCATATTTTTTTTTTTGTCAACCATTGATGTTAATGCAAAACGGCTGAACTAAGGTGGTGGTAATCGGTTATGTGCTGGTGGTTTTGGAAAAGGTTATAGATTTCGCTTGGTGGTATGGTTTTACGGTAGTGGGAAATGACAAATTTCAATCAAACTATAATTCATTGGACATTCACTAAATCATTAAAATATACATGTAGATTAAATATTTGGAATCGTCCAAAAAATACAATTGCCAATCTAAAACAGTTTGTCAATGGTATTTTTGCTATGCAATTAGTTTTCATTATTAGTGTGACAAGATAATAATAATGAAATAAGCTATGTATTTATAACTTAATTACACATTATTATTTAAACTCTAATATCTTTTCTTATTGTATTGTTTTTATGATTCTTTTATGCTAGACATAAGTTTAATAAGTAACTTTCAATCTGAAAGCTAATTAATAGGTAACCTTACGACCGCACTCGGAGGCAGCACTAGAGAATTAAATTATCATCGTAAATTAAGTGTTCTTTTTCGCGATGAAATCAGAATTCTACAACATAAGACTTAAAATGACATTAATTTTTTTATGTCTCTGAGTATGGCCGTTATGTGTACTTATCATAAATGCCTTCGACAATTCGCTGTCTTGAAAAAAGGCAAAGTAATCGTTGTCTATTACTTTCTTTATTTTAGTAGTAGCTAAATTGTATTTTAACTATATATATTATTTGTTATCTATGCCTACATAGTTTCTTCAATTTGATTACCCTCAGCCTCAAAAAAATTGTTATATTATTTGTTAACTGAAGTTTCTTAAATTATCTACTCCTACACTTTTATCTTCAGCTTCTCAGCGTAATAAAATAGTCTAGAAGTCTAAAATAGAAGTTTCTTCGAATTACCTGTACCTACACTTTTATCTTCAACTACCCTCAACGTATTAAAACAGTTAACTCGTATTATTTTTCATTATCTTCAAATTGCTTGTACACTTATTCCTTACCTTCAACTACCTTCTGCGTATTAAAAACTAGCACTTGTATATATTTGACTAACGGTGGTGGTTTACATTTCTCGTATAGAGAGAAGCCCCTAGTGCTGTATGCGTTCTCGAAGAACAAGGAGGTGATCAACAGCATAGTCGAAAATACCACCAGCGGGGGAATGTGCATTAACGATACCGTCATGCAGATGGGAGGTTTGGCAATCAACTATTACTACTTAATCTTATAGCTCATTATGAGGCAGCGGCATCAAATGTTGGTCACCCATCCTGCCAGTTATTTCGTATCGCTTACTTTAAACGAACGCAGGCGGAACGCGCTACCACTGCGCTATCGAGCGCCAGGTAATATTTACTGCATGTAGTATACTTTATAAGTAGTTGTAAAATTAGAATGTGTTTTAACTGATCTATCAACCCCCCTCCCCCACATGAGTACAGTGATTTGATATATAACGCTTTTTCATCGCGCTCAATTGTCAAATTACTATGGAGTTTGACAGTTAGACGCGATATGAAACGTGATACAATGTAGATTGTGGTGCTCATGCTACGGGGACTGGACCCTATTTCTTTTGTTTATTTTATGGCTTGTGATTGTACCTTCACAATTCCGCCAATTACACGTAGGTAGCTTTTACACGTGGGGAGACCCTATTTCACCAACTTGGTCAATGGTAAGGTCATAAAAAACTAAAAATAAATCAATTCGGACTGGGTATAACACTGTATCCAGCATTACCTTACCTGATTAAAAACTGGCTTTCGTGGAAAGCTATTTTGTAACTAAAAACGAAAACACTACAATTCTAAGTCAAATCTGACACAGTCCCGATTCCAAGATTTACCGACAATTTGTCAAATATGTCTACTTAGAAAAATTACCCTTGTTTCACAACATAATTGTCGTTACGGACAATTATAACAAAACGCCTGTAATTTTTATGACATATGTCGGCTTGGTGAAATGAAGCCCTGAAAATACCTCACAGTCTTCCATTGAAGGAATTATTTCCATTTTTATCGAAACATACAAAGGCGACACAGCCAGTTACATAGTCGCACTAAGCGGCCCAGGTATAAGGCTGAAAACGAACCAGCGAGCGTCCTTCACTTACCGTTATCTCGTGTTTAAATTTAAAATATTATCAAGAGTTTATTTATTTATATATGTTATGCTGTAAGAAAGCGTCACTTCTTTGCATTACAAGCAATTACAATGTCAAATGAGATACTTTTACTATAGGTAGACCGCTTAACTGAGTCCTCGCCTGTGGGTTAAAGGTTGTGGGGGTAGAACGGGAACGAGGGCCGTGAGAGGTGCGGGCGGCGGGTGCTTGTAATTATGTCAACAATGTGCCTGCCAGAACTCAGTTAAGCAGTTTTCCTATAGTACCAAACATTATAAAGAAGAAATAGTAATCTAGTTTTTATTACTATATTTTTAAGCAGGAAAGGTTAAGCTGGATCCTGCTTTATGCCCAGTCTGAGTTGAATTTTTTCCCTGTAAAATTGTAATTGATGTCACCACACATATGATTCAATAACCCTTGAAAGCAGTTTACACAATTTAATTGAATATCACTGAAAAACAACCAACATTTTAAAACTGAAAGGAGCCGGTTCTCTGTATGGAGGGTAGCTAGTCTCCGGCAGACTCCAAATTTTTATGACATGTAGGGCTCTTAATTGTAAACCGTTTTTAAAAGAAAAAAATATTTTAGCACCATTTTTTTTTTCAAATAAGTGGTCAGAATACTTACGATATTGTTCAATTTTCAAATAATTAATTATCTGTTCATGTTTATTACATTAAAGATGCTTTCAAATGATATAATGTTTTATCTGCCGGAAACCGACAACCACTTTTAAACCGTCTCCTTTTATATTTAATTAATGCATGCAACACAAAACTGAAGTAGATTAACAGCATAACTTTCTATGCTTTGCATATATCGGGCTTGGTGATTTGCGATAAACGCCGTTATTGCGTGCTAATAAAGTTCATATTTGCAGTCGAAACTCTGCCCTTCGGAGGGGTGGGTAACAGCGGCCTGGGCGCTTACCACGGTAAAGCCACATTCGACACGTTTACCCACAAGAAGAGCTGTCTCATCAAGAACTTTTCGCCCATCGGAGAGAAACTGGCTTCGTGAGTCCATTATTTCCTCAAAATTCATATTCAATATCGTTTATTCAATGTGGACTACTAGTACAGTCATTTGGTGAGAAATATAGTGGTTACCTGGAAAGTTTTCCGGGAGTTTTGAAAATTAGTAATTTTATAGATTTTGAGGTGCTCTTTCCGAATTTCGGCTTTGCCACCTCACCTTAAAAGCAGTTTTTTGACAATATCTCCTTTCCGACTCATTTTACGATAAAAACAGTTATATACAAAATGAAACTAGAGACGATTGCCTACAATTTATGTATGTATCTTTTTTTTTCATAAAGTCAATAGTTTTGGGTTACGAGCGCCGCATAGTGTACTCCGCGCATTTTGGCTAAAAAAACTCATTTCTAATGTGGTATATCCAATAGGCCTAATCCACATGCAATTTAATGTCCTAAAATTTAGCGTTTTCTTCGCTTTGTTATTCTCGATCGACCAGGTGTTGCAAATTCATCGTCTGAAATATTTGGAAGTTTGCCCATGGACTAAGAATTTACCTATTAGTTTTCCAACGTTGTTATAATGTCAAGAAATCGAAAGAGTTTATGTTACATATAAGATTTTAAATATGATTTCGAAATACATAGTACCTTCTTTTTTCCTTGTTATTAGAAGGTCTTAAGTGCAATTACGCATTCTCTACAAAGTAAAACTTGTCTGTTTTGTCATTTTTTAGCACATTGTCGGGCAAGTGAGTAATGAATCAATTGATTCGATTGTATACCAGTTTTGAAGATCAGAAGTCCCGGGTTCGAATCCCAGTGAGACAAATCGGGGATACGAGGATTTGTACGTAAGGCATGAGTTGTTTATATATCTTGCTACAAAAATATGTGTACCTAATTATCTATACATATTTATATGTATTTATACGATTACAATGGTACAACATTGTCGAAGATTCCAATTGGAATGTTTAACGAAACTAAGATCATGTACAAAAAAAACTTATACTTAATACAAGTAATTTCTTTCTATAGAGGGCGCTACCCTCCCTACTCTGAGGGTAAGCTAACCTACATCACCACCCTGATGAAGCCCATGCACGGACCCTCGCTGAAGTTCTTACCGTACCTGATCACCTTCGCGTTAGGGGCGGGCTTGTCCTATGGCCTGATGGCCTGGCAAAAGGTAAAGAAATGAATCCGGCAAGTTTTTTTTTGTTTTTTTTTTATTCAACTTTATTTTTCAGTAAGAATTGTAGATATTAATATTGTATGGGGTAAATCTTTAAGGAACCCAAATAGATAGTTTATAAAGATAATTTGAATTATATTTTTATAATAACTTGTATATAGCATTAATTACATGTAAGGCTTTAAAACAGAAAGTGACAAGAATAATGTTACTGGAAAGGCTCAGCAATTTTTTTTATTTTATATTTTATGTAAAATAAAAAACCTGATACAAAAATTAAACAAAAACTATGAATGAGAAAATGTGAACTATACTTTAAAAAGTATATTATTTGGGATTGGTAAGTGATACTTGTCAAATGTCACTTTTGTCTCTAATGGCATTTAAATGAAAATAAGACTGCAATAATAACAAATACTGTAAAACATGGTTTAACTTACATAAAACTTTTAAAAATATACCGGCTATAGTTGTGAATCGCTCCCATTATTTATTTTTCTTATTTATGCATCAAGGTTCGGTAGTGTTGCTAATTTGGGGTTCTCAACTATAAAACAGGAGGGATAATGATTTATGTTAAAATGGTTTAAATTTTATAGTTACATTTTTGTTTAAGTTTTTTTATTATTATTAACTTCCTTTTCCTTATTTAATTTACAGTTAACGAATAGGAAACACTGAAACTTAAGGGAATTAAAATGGTTTTCAAATTAAGATTTAAATATTTTTGGAAGTTTATAAAACTGCATGTATGAATAAAGGGACATGATCCAACGCACATCTTTATCTTTCTTTCAGAAAAAATGTTGCCATATGCTTTGATTCTTTTTATTAATGCACATCTTCTTTGAAATTGTGAAACATTACCCGTAACTTTAGTTAGTCTGTACTTACGTAACATAACAGATATAGAGGTAAGATTTATGAAAACATAAAATAACAGTTTTTTTTTTTTGATAAATCTTAACATCATCATCATTAATATGACATGCACACATTGACGTATAAAAACAAATAGACTCCCTCCCGCCTAACAAAAGTGAACATTATAGTCCTGCCGCTCAGAGATTGCGTTTCTGACAGGTCGTGTCAGTTCCTTAAGGCGACAGAATAAAGTACACTTTAGATCTAATAAAAAAGAGGTTCGAAGATTAACACTAATGCTAGCACCCTAAGGAACTGACACGACCTGTCAGAAATGCTAACTCTGAGCGGCTGGACTATAACATATTTGTACAAATGAACACGTTATGTCGTGGCAATAAAATTCAATATCAGTTGTATATGGGAGAGAAAGAAAGAGTTTGATTACGGTGTGAAAGAGACATTTGAGAGAGATATATTTATTGTAGCTATTAAAATGTAATTAATTAGCAATAATATAGAAAACTTAAAAATAGCTATTTGTTTCTTAGGTTTTCACTCACATCACTCATTAAATAAAACTAGTTTTTCACGGGTTAACGCACGAAACTTTATTTATTTATTGACGTTTAAAAATAGTTGCTTAATTTTGTTAGTTCAAATAGGCACTTATCTGAAAAACGATACACCATGTTTTTAAGTGTAGATCGGTGTCATTTGCACAATGTTTAACCGCACAATGAGGTCGATTCTGACACGATTCTCTAAACCTAAACTTGAATTTGACAACAGTGTATCCTTGTCTTTCTCTATACAGAATGAAAAGGAGATACTGCTGTCAAATTTGATTTTAAGTTTAGAGAACCATGCCAGAATGGACACCAATGTCGTTGTAATCAAAGCGCGGTCGAAACACGACTGTTTCAAAATTACGCGCAATAGACAAGTGTGCGTAATTTCGCCTCCGACACTTTGAGCCCGATTGTGAGTGTACTTGTTTTCATATGTCAATGCATGCATACCAATATTCAACCTACCAACAATCTTTATCTTTACTGCTTTTTTGGAACATTGGAAAACTACTTTATTCAGTTGACATAAAGGTATAAGTAGCTTTTTCATCATACAAAAGTGGTAATAATGTTGAAATTAGAGAGCAATAAATTGAAATTAACTACAGTTATTTTTACCAATAATACGGGTTTTCTCTGAGTTTTGATTCCTACATACATGTTAAGGCAAAACTACTCTACTATGTTTTTGGCTTCTAGTGTCTTTTTATATTTAAAATGAGACTTAATGCAATAACAATAGTATAAAACAAAATGTTTGTATTTATGACTAAGTAATGTACTTATGTAAATTGTCATCCTTTATTCATTCCTGCCACTTACAAGTATTTGTACAAGTTGATTTTATTCTTGAAAATATTTCACAACACACTTCATGTAAAATTCATGGTGATGTCCTTTTGTATTATAATCTTATTTGCATAAATATCTTTGAAAAAAGAAGTTGTTTCATTATCATCTTGCTTCCTCGTAACTCCACTGAGAATTAAAAATTTGCTTTAAATTTAAGTATGACATTTTAAATAAGTACATTGGACTTTTACACAAAATAAGTTATAATAATAATACCTATTCACAATTATCAGAAATAGAATTGTTAATTTCACGTGTCTGCATCATTCCAGAATCGTGAAGAACGGTAAAACAGTACTAAAACATTATTTATTATCTTTATCGCATGCATAAGTAGATAAGAGATTGGAAAATGCATACTTGGCGATTTACTTTTTATCGGCAACTGATTTAGATGGAAAACTATAGGAAAATGTAGACATCTAAATGAATTCCGCTCCTACTGCTGCTCCAATGATGAAACTATGATGCAATAAGACCGAGAAGAGAGCCACCTTGAATCGGTGTTCATCAGGACTTTTATCCCATTTAGGTAGTTACAGTGTGATCAAGATCACTTAGATGACATTGACAGGAGGGCGCTACTGCTGAATAAGTGGTGAAATGAGGCTCCCTAACAGCGGTAAATCTCCTTACTAAAGGGAACGTTATAATTTAAAATACTCGAAAAAATTAATAGAAAACATAAAAGCCTTATTTACATCTTCCCCTTTAAATAAAAGGGTTATTAATAAGTTCCTAAATTAGTTCCAATTTTGGCCACGCACGATCTTGGTGGCACTTTGAATATTTCAAATTCCCATTTCATGTCTCGTTAACAACGAATATCCTATACTTTTCGCAGAAAATATTTTAGGGATTAGTAAGGTGGTGCTGCGCTCCTCGAATTCAATGAGTACTTTAAATGCTCTGACTTTTTTGTAAGTGAGCATTTTCCTCTCGCTTGGATAAGGGTGTCAATTTTACTTTAATGCTGGCACTTCACATGGCTATTCGTATTTGACAGTACTATCTCCGTTACATTCCAGAGAGTGTGTTAAAAGCATATACTGTTGTCGAAATAAAAATATAAGTATTAAACGAATAGCCACTTAAGGTATTCTTTTGAGTAAAATTAACACCGTTTATTTTTTAAAGTGAGAAATTCTTACTGTGAAATCATGCTCTTGGTCTAGTAAACGACGTAAATATAGCATGTTTTATTTCGTATCTTTTACTTAAAAAGAGTATTTGATAAGTTTTAGAAAACAATCTCACGTTATTTACTAATGTTTATTTTGTTGTTGATATTTTTAATTCTGTTGCGTAATTGGGTAAAAAAACTAAATTCAATTTTTAAGTTGCCGCGAAATCATTTCTCTGGACATTATGGCGTCTCACTAGTATGTGACGTCACACGAATATATTAAAACGTTAAACAATACAAAGTAATATCACTTTGGCCGGAAGTTTACTAGCGTGCCACGTTATTTTAGTCTTGGGCAATCCCAGGAATAGAAACGGCGGAAAAACGTTTTATCGCGATTTTCAAAAAATACCACTTCTATCGTTAGTAGGTATCTATACTTTTTCATATAGCCAAAAATATCTGCGAAAATGAATTAATCAAAATTTACGGAACTATCTTGGCGTTTTCTATTGTATTGCCAGTTAATAAGTCTTAATAGCTATAACAAAATATCTCTTCCCGTGTACTCTCCGTGTGTCACGTGATAGTATTTGTCTCTACGTGTGTACGTGTACCTCAATACAATTGACATTGATCCTTACTCCCATGATATAACGTGTTCATTTGAACAAACGTGGTAATGTAATCTGTATGAGTTGATAAATAATGTAAAACACAACACCACTCAAACGTTTTTGATGCACTTTTGTTTGCTAGGCGATTTGGAGTTTACGTCAATGGATAATAGCTGAAAATTCGTTTATAAAAATTGAATTTCAATAACTTGGCCGAGTCTTGATCATTGTTATCAGTCGTCTTCAACGGACTGACTTCAATATGCCACAGTGTCAAGTTGTGTAATTCTCGTATAAGCATTAATTTGGATACCGGCCGGCGTTGCGTTTAATGAACAGCCTAGACGTTCAATTAGCTGGCTAATTCAACCAGACTGCTACGACATGTTTATCACATAGCAATATTATTTGTTCATTTCTAATATTTTTTTGCCGTCATTTTGTTTCCTGCTTTAATAAACCTTTTCTTATTATTTCAGATGGCAACAGAAGACCTGTAAGACGTCAAATCAAAAAACTTAATCTGTTTAAGTGCACCAATGTGATAAAAAAATCTATTATATTTTGATGTGGTGTTTATGTTTCCTGTTTTAAAGTTGCACAGAGTTGTTAAAAAATATGAATATTTTAGAGATATTATTTTACTGAATCAATAATATTTTTATCGAATTTCTTAGATGATAATGGTTAAAGAAGATAATGCATTTATTTTATTTTTGTACGTAATAATACTAATTGTTATACCTACATTCTGGGCAAATTCAGTTTTGCACAAACTTTGCAATTTAATAACGAATTTATTGTTATGTAACTGGATAGTGATGTCGATTCTGGCATGATTCTGTAAACCTAAACTTAAATTTGACAACAGTGTATCCTTGTTCTATCTATACTTATAATATATTATCCTACATATTACCTACCCTATATCCTACTTATAGTATACATATATTATAAAGAGGAAAGATTTTATTG